GTCCAGTGCAAGTTCATGGAGGTAATTCCCATGCATATTCATTCAGAACTTATCCTGAAGCTTGTTTTTGTGTGCCAACTTCTTTTAAAAAGCGCACCGGCCTTGTATCATCATTGAACTGACTGGCACTAGGTAATTCAGAAATATGTTATGTTGTTAATCTGACTGCATTTGGATTCGAACTTGGGTCTGTATTTCAACAGCTCATGGGTGTACCAACTCAGCAAACTTCTTTTTTTGAGCAAACCTCCTTTTTATTTTCAAATTTCAATGGATGTATGTAGACATTTCCCTGCAGCTAAAGTATAACACAGACAGCCACGTGGGAACATGCAAACCGATGGAAATACGACTAACATGTTTCCCCGAACGCAACACACCCTCGTCATGGCTCTATCGAGGGGGGACAGGGGTTATGAGTTGTATACATTCATGAATAGCATGCGTTGTGTTTGGAACGAGGGGGGGAAGAAAAATAGGAAACACTAAACGTCAAAAGGAGACAGCCTTCTGATTTTCTTTCTACTGAAACAGTCACACCAAACATTCCATGATTCTCTAAGTATGTCTCTCGCTCGCCAAAAAGTTCTTTTCGGAAAAAAAAAACAAATCGAGCAATTGCCCAACTACTGTTTTTTTTTTTTCTTTTTACGAGAGTTTTTTTTGGAAGTATATTTTTACGGAAGCAAGTTATGTCTTTTACTTCAGCAAAAAGAAGGGGCCATTTCTCTCATCATGCAGATGCAGCAGGCCCTACATTTTCCATCTTCTTTGCTCTGGGAAAAAAGAGCGATTTATTTTTCTTTCTTTTCCCCCAAGAACAGCGTCTTGTGAAAGAGTCAATTTCATCGAAAGATGGGATCTGGAAAAAAACATCACAAAAAAAAACACTTTAACGAAAAGAAAATACTTGGAGGTGCATTAGTGCAGCAAACATCAAATATACAGAATGAGGAATAGAAGGCTGATGAGATCCTCCAGGCTGACTCACGATTCCAGAAATTCCCTGAAGATGTTGCATGCTGCCTCCGATGCTGGATCAGCAAATGCCTCCATGTTGAACCCACGACCCGGCACTGTCGATTAAATTTCAGAAATCCAAATTTCCGACTATCTTTTTCACCTGCACACTCATCAGGAACACATGTCCTCAGGTCAGCACAGATAGCCCAACTTATGCCCTTCCCCAAACGTTTGGCCCTTTTTCTTCATCCTCTTCTTCTCCTTCTTCTTTGCTCTGGGGGGTATGCTGAGGTGGATGCGGGAGAGAGGAAGCCCCTTGATATAAGTCCTGGTGCGCAGCCAGGCAAACCGCACGCAGGGGAATGTGCGCGTTCAGCTGTTTAGTCTGTGTAGGTGCTGTGATGGTCATCCTTTGAACATAGACACGTAGCGATCGGCCTCGCTGTTTCAATTCAATACTTCTTCTCCTCCCGCTACCACTCATCCCATCCTGACGCGCCTGCCCCATCTTGGGGCAAAACCCTAAACCCTTTCCTTCTTCTTTCATGCTTTTCTCCTTCTGTTTCTACCCCTACCTTGCTTTGACTCCTCCTCCTCCTTCTTCTTCTCTGTCATCACCCTCGTCTTCCCCTCCCAATGCCTCTTCTTCCTCTTCGTCTTTTCTTCCTCTTCCTCTTCTCATTGGAGAACGAGGGAGGAAGCCATGATGAAGGAGAGGACCATGGAGTCCAGAAGGAGGCGGTGGAGAGAGAGAGGGAGAGAGGATAGGAGGAAAGCAAGCGAAAGGAAGAGGGCGGGATAGAAAAAACGAAGAACTGTGCCGAAGGGGATGCAAAGAAACACCCCTGTCGCCAAAGGCCGGGCCCCCACGTGTCGTGGTATCACTACGCAGCTCCGCTCACCGTTCATTTTGTCTGTAGTGCTGAGGTGGAAAGGTGAGGGGTTAGGGTTACGTACAAATGACATGCAGAGGACCAGGACGTGTCGGGTGACGGTAATCTTGCGGCGCGAGCCAGACAGTCAGGTCGGATTAGTTATATTAATAATTAATTAGGCACTAATAAATTCAGTAAAATTACACATAAATAAGTAATTACGTAATTAAGCGATTAGTTATATTACTGCGACGAGTCCGTGTGGCGGGGGCAAGGCTTTTGCGATCTGCAAAAGTTAGCGGGATGAGCGTTCACCCTCCCCCTTTCCCCTTCCCCCCCTCCCCCCCCCCCCCCCCCGTTTCTGTGTAACCGGCACACCCCACTCCTCACGCGAGGCTGCTGCTACCGTCTTCCCCCGAACACAACGCACGCTGATGACGAATGTACACAAGCTATATTTCCGGTCCGGTGAAGACAAAATGAGGGTGCGTTGTGTTCGGGGGAAGACGGTAGCCCAGCCGAAACCTGTCGGGATATGCTACCGGTAGTAGCGACGGGAGAGAGATGCATATCGCCAACCGGCTCATCTTCGATTCGTTAATCTTGCCGTAGCTCATCCCACATCACACCTTACGACGTCAGCACTCATCCACTTGATCCAGATCCCCCTCGCTTCTCTCTTAGGGAAAGTAAGTCGTGCTGTTTTGTTCTATCTGTCAGCCTGCGGGGGCTTTTGCCTTTCTTTTCTCCCTTAATGCAACACAAATATCTAAACCTGAATCGTCAGGTCCTACTGGCGGGGGAAAACGCTGTAAGCCCTGACGGTTTCGGTCCAGAAAACGCCGACATTGCGGCCAGGAACGTCAACGTTAAATGCGCAAGGGCGTAAGTAATGTTGTAACCACGCAGCTCTGATCGTTGATGCGTTAATCCATTACACACTTTCACCTTCTTCGTAGATGCAAGCAGCGGGATGCCGCGCATCGAATACAGGTTGAAATTCTTACGATTAATGGCCAATTAATACCGGTGTGCTACATGTTGAATACAGGATTAATGCAGGAGTAATCTAGGATTAATAATACAAAACACGGGATTAATATAGGATTACTACAGGATTAATTACACTGGATTAATAGGTTGTAAATGCACGGTGATGAAGACATGGTTGATACTGCAACATGTGATGAGCTAAAAGGCGATACCGGATTCGATCAGCGAAAAGGTTATGGGTCGAACGGTAGAGAATGCTCCCCAGGTGCTAGCGGTGTCTGCTCTTATCAGCATCTCTAACACTGGTGGGGGTGTTATTAAAAAAAAAAAAAAAAAAAAAGAATGCGGCAGCAAAGAAAAAACACAATCAAGAGCCCGTGCTTTTTTCAATGGTTAATTCTGATTTAAAATCAATCGGTTCTGTAACACGGGCAATAACTTGACTACTATCAAGAATCCGAATACAAGGTTCTATTTGAATATCTGATGCAGTAATTTTTTTTAGGGCCTTTTTCACAAAACGCTGAAATTGCAGCCACGAACGCCCGTCACAGCTACTACATGCCCAAAGGAGGTTTTCATACAGCGTTGCGATTACATGCATTTCTTTTTTTTCTTTTTTTTTTCGCGCACTTTAGAGTCGTCCCAGCACGCCAGGTAGACATCCCGACTGGCTTGCGAACCGCTTTATAGCCGCAAGATCCCGACTGGGTTATGGGGATCCCCACTGGCATGTGCCGGCGGAGAAGGCAAAGGCAGATGCAAACGCGGCCCATTTGCCTCGTCCTCTGCAAGCCAACGTCTGTCCCAACGGCCTCAATTCTTCTTGGCCTTGCTTTGGACCATTCGACTACCACACCCGGACTTCAAGGACATAGCCACAGTGTGCGACTGAGATCCCCCCTACAGTGTGCGACATCCGGCCGAACATCTCGAAACCTTCGGCCTGACGGAGTGCAAGTGGAATTTCCCTAC